TCTATTTAGGTTGTTTTTTCTTTTTGTGTCCAGACTTGAGCACAGTGCCTTGCTTGTTAAAGTGAATGTTGTTACAATCTCTCTGGACTGTTTCTTCATCTCTAAAAGGAAAAGTATTGAATTGAATGATTTCGAAGTTCCCTTTCAGGGCTAAATTCTTTATTCTTAATATCCTGTGATTTAATGATGCCTTGATATAAACATCAATGTCCTTGTTAATGTCAGATTAATGTTCTATTTACAAGTATACACTTAATCATGATCGGTTCATCCTTTTTTTGTTTTTCAATGACAACAAAGAAGGGACAAGCATTTTCCATTCTGTAAAAAGGCTACTTTTTTTTTTTTAATGAAATAGTTTTTCAGATCTACTTGAAAAGACACTGTCTGGCCTAAAAAATAGTTAATTGGACTGTGATTTCAGTTTATATATCGGATCCAAATTTTTTTTTTTAAAAAAGGGAAGTGTAGTATTGTGTATTCAGGAAGGCCTGAGTTCGAGGCCTGCCTTTTATACTACTGGCTTCATGGATGTGGGCATTATTTAACTTCTCCATGCCCAGGCAACTCCCCAAGACTGTAAGCTACAAAATAATTGCTTTATTAGTAGGAGTTCCCTACTTCATTGAAATAATTATTTTGGACCAACACACAGGTTCATTGTTTTTCTCACAGTCTTGATTAACTTTTGATTAAAATAACAATTGCAAATCAGGCAAGAACTTCCAAGTACTCAACTTACTATAGTTACATTCAACAGTGTTTTGAATTGTCACAATGCTTTACAATTACCAATTAATGTTATCCCCAAGAAGTAGAAATGACGCATTGTATAGAGCATGTAGGGGTAGGCAACCCGCAGCCTCGAAGCATCATGTGACCCTGCAGGTCCTCAAGTGCAGCCCTATTCAGTAGTCACTTCCTTGGTGAAATAACCTGTCTTTACGCCAACCAAGTATCTTTTCTGTATCTGTCCACTTCTCCAGCCTCAATGTCATTTAAAGTACATTAGGCTTGTTTTCTGAAGTTCTCTTTATGACTGGTTCAGTAAAAGGATACTGCATGTGAAGTTGGGAATGATCATAATAGTCAGATAAGTTGCTATAGGAACTACTGATATTTTTCAACTACATTTAGCAGTTTATGTAGCATCTGTTAGTGTGAATAGGCACACTCTCTAGAGTACTGTGAAATAAATTTTTCTGAATTGGCAAACAGAATCCTTTCATTATTAATGCAGTTTTTCATTACATAAATGCGTATGGTTGTCCAGTATTTTAAAAACTAGGCCCACTATAATCTCTCCAAGCATACTTTTCGGTTCCAGGAAAATATATTCATTTCTATTTGAAACCTATAGCAGAAAAATGTGAGTTCGAAGAGACCTGAGTGGCCGCGTAGTCTAGCCCATGCCTCAAAGGAAGCCCTTCTGCAGCCTTCCTGATTAAGGGATCCTCCGTCCTTTGCTTGCAGATGTCAAAGGAGGAAGAGGAGCCTGTTGTCTTTGGAGGCAGCTTGTCTACTTTCAGAGAATTCAAAGGGTTAAAAAGCTTTGTCTTCTCTATAGTCGATGTCTTTTTGCAATTTTCCCAGTTTAAATAATTCTACCTTCAGCAACCAACTGGGGAGTCTAATCCTTCTTCTGTAAGACATCCCTTAAAATACTTGAAGTCAGCAGGCTTAATTCTTGCCTTAGTTTCCATAATTATTATTATTTTTTTTTGCTTGCTGTTCGTCATGTTATGTTACAAAATTTAGCAGAGTGTCAATTTTAAAAAATAAGTTCTTTTTCTTGACCTTTTTAAGATTTTTGGTTCCACAGTCTCTTCTTTTAAATATCTGAATACTTGTAGATTTGAGTTTCTAATATTTGTCTTTAGGGTCTTTTCAACACATTTTTAATGAACAGGCCTTATAATTTCATCTTACCAAGAGAAATGGCCCAGGAAATTGAGACAAATGCTGTCTGAGTTATCCAAGGACATGGAGGGAAGTCAGTACTTAAAAGTTGAGAACAAGGGCTTACTTCTGCTAATGTAACACTTTTCTGCCAATGTTATTGTTCCTCAGAATATTTACTGTTCAAGGGCATTTATCTTTTTGTATCAGTCAGACTGTTAGCAACACAGGAAATGAGACACCTGGATCATGGGGACTGGATGGGAACAAGTATGGCTGCTGTGTCAAGAGAGTACAACAATGGTTCTGCTCATGCCAGGGCTAATTTCAGCCAGCACATCCATAGCATGAGTAATAGATCACATTTATATAGATAGCACTTTACAGTTTACCAAGATCTTTACATATGTTGATTTCTACACTTGTGAGATAGGTAGTGCAATTTTGCAAAAGAAGAGCTGAATCTCAGAGATGTTTAGTGACTTGCCTATCAGAGCACAAATGGTATATGACTGGCTTGGGCCTTGGCCTACTAATTTAAAATCCAGCTCACTTTTCCTCTGCCTGCTCTTTCACGTATTCAATCAGCTCAGCTCAATGAAACCATTAGTATTTTTTTTAATCACAAATAATAGTGATAGTGTAATGATACTAATAATAACATACCAGTACATTTTCCATCCACTAATCTGTTAGTTAGCACAAGGAAGAAGGTTTGAAAAGTTTCTGAAAGCCCCTGGTAATAATAAAAATGGTTTTCATTTGTAAAGCATTCATCTTGACACCAGTTCTATGAGGTGTAAGTAGTTCAAGTCTTACTATCCCCCATGGAGACTCCATGGATGGAGGTAAAATGATTCACTCATCCTGAAAGGCATGCTTGGTAGGGCTTAGGAGTCTGGCACAAAGAAGTAAAAGCTCATCTTTAAATGAAGTGGCTAGGGGCAGCTAGGTGACGCAATGGACAGAGCACCGGCCCTGAAGTCAGGAGGACCTGAGTTCAAATCCAGCCTCAGACCAAACACTTGACACTTACTAGCTGTGTGACCCAGGGCAAGTCACTTAACCCCAATTGCCTGAAAATTAAAAAAATTAAAAATTAAAAAAAAGAGAGGGAAAAAAATTAAAAATAAATTAATTAATTAATTAAGTGGCTTACTGTTACCTCCATGAGCAAATGCAGACTCCTCTGTTTGGCATTTAAAGCCCTTCCAAACCTTGGCCCCAACTTACCCTTTCAGTCTCGTTACACATTACTGCCTTCCATGATTCATGGTCTAGAGTGTCCCTTACTTTTCCTCATGTACAATATTCCACTTCTGGGCTCCATGACTTTGCTCTGACTGTATCCCTTGCCTGGAATATATCCCCTTCTTGCCTCTGTCTCTTAGAATCTCAGGACTGCCATTGGCTGCCTTTTTTTTTTTTTAATTTTTAATTAAATTATTTTGAATTTTCAACAATCACTTCTATAAGCTTTTGAGTTTTAAATTTTTCTCCCCCTTCCTCCCCACCTCCCTCCCCAAGATGGCACGCAATCTCATATAGGCTGTACATATATGTTCCTATTAAACATATTTTCACATTAGGGATGTTGTAGGTAAGAATTAGAACCAATAGGAGGAACCACCAGAAAGAGGAAACAAAACACAACAGAAGAAAAAAAATAGCAAATAGTATGCTTCGATCTGCATTCAAACTCCATAGTTCTTTCTTTGGATATGGATAGCATTTTCCATCATGAGGCCTTTGGAGATGTCTTAGATCCTTGTATTGCTGAGAAGGGTTAAGTCTATCAATGTTCGTCATCGCACAGCGTGTCTGTTACTGTGTACAACGTTCTCCTTGTTCTGCTCATTTCACTCAGCATCAGACTATATCTTTACAGGTTTTTCTGAAGTTAGCCTGTTCATCATTTTTTTTTTTTTGCAATTGGGGTTAAGTGACTTGCCCAGGGTCACACAACTAGTAAGTGTCAAGTGTTTGGTCTGAGGTCAGATTTGAACTCGGGTCTTCGTAACTTCAGGGCCAGTGCTTTATCTACTGTGCTACTTCGCTGCCCCCTGTTCATCATTTCTTATAGCACAATAGCATTCCATCACATTCATATACCATGACTTGTTCAGCCATTCCCCAATTGATGGTCATCCTCTCAATTTCCAATTCTTTGCCGCCACAAAAAGAGCTGCTATAAATATTTTTGAATATGTAGGTTCTCTTCCCATTTGTATGATCTCTCTGGGATATACGTTGGCTGCTTTTGTAACCTTAATTAATCACCGAATCTCTTTGGGCTTCAATTTCCTTATTGGGAGAATGAGAGGGTTGGACTAGCTGATCTCTGAGATCCCTTCCAATGCAAAAATCTGGGGTCCTATGAATATATGGACATAGTTTTCTTGAGACTCTGCTGTAGCATCATCACCTTCTGCAGTACGTCTGTTCTGATTCTCCCAGCTTCTACTGTCCTCTCCCTCCAAAATCACCTTCCATATATTTGGTCTCTAAATGTGTATGTGTATAGACATATTGTCCCCTAATAGAACGTGACTTCTTTTAAGGCAGGGGCTGTTTTATTTTTCTATCTGTATTCTTTGTGCATAGCACATTATAGGTGGTCAACAAATGATTGCTGGTGGATGGATATAATTCAGTTATATAATATTTAATTCTTATAGCTCCATTATCTCATTCACCACTGGCCCCCATCATTCTAATTAGCCACCCCTCTGTACCTTTTTAGCTTTTGCCATTCGTGTACACTTCTGTTTTGTAAATTTGCAGTAAGTGATGTTACCTACACACTTCAGGATTTCATCCTTGTCCTTTAATGTGTCATGTGGTGGTAGCATTCTTGCTCTTGTTATTTAACCAAGCTGACTCCTTTTCTGGTCATACATAAGTGAGGAGTTGGGTTTTTTGCTTTGTTTTGTTTTGTTTTTTTGGTCAGCTCTGACATTTAGTTCATTGTTAGTAATATGGTGCAGCCAGCTTGTAAAATATCAAAATTAGTAGTGCCTTGTATAACTGAGTTTCTGTTATACCAACTGAGGGATTTTTTTTTTACAGTTCTGAGTTCTCTTATTAATGTCTTTGAACAGATTTACCATGTTTGATAATGTTAGAATTCCCCGGGAAAACCTGCTGAACCGAACAGGTGATGTTACCCCGGAGGGAGTCTACAACACTTCCTTTAAGGTACAGTGCTCTTATATTGAAACTGTACATGAAATGATGACTATCAAAAGCATAGATTCACATGAATAAGTGATCCATCTTTCATTATACAAAGAGTGACATTCTCCCATCAAATGAAACTTGGCCCTTTTGAGGAAGTATGATGCAGTGGAAGGAGCAAACTTGGAGTGCTGGACTGGAATCTGAATCCCAGTTTTCTGACTTATAAGCTATATAAATATGGACAAGTCACTCAGCCTCTGTGGGCCTCAGTTCTGTCAACTGGAAAATTGGGGGTGGGGTGGACTAGAAGACCTTTAAGGGATCTCCCAGTTCTAAAGGGCATCTCACATTTCCCTCATGGATGTTTGCTGCCGCAAAGGCATTTGGAATAGAATTCTAGACTCACTCATCTGTAGGACAAGCTAGCTCTGTTTTAAGAGAAAGTAGACAGGGTCAGGTAAGCTCCAGATGCTTGGGCAGCTCCCAAATGGGGTCAAGCATTTGGGGGTTGGTTATTCAGAGTGTTTAGGCCAACAGGCAAACCTTAATATATGGACCTGCAGTCCATAAGGTTCTCACAGAAAGCCAAGCAGTCTAGGGCTATTTAAAAGCAAAAAGGAAGAAAAAGGTGAGCTTTTGTGAGCCAGACAGGAACATTTTCAAGCTGCAAAATTCATGCTTCTTATGCTTCAGTAGTCATTGTGGGTGCAGTAGTACACCAGATATCAGTACATACGTATTTAAATAAGCAAAATTTATAACAAATAAACTGGCCTTACTTGCAAAGAAACATAGTAGAAAATTTAATGCAAAGTTATAATTTAAAACAAAAAAAAAAGAAAAACTGCTATTTTAAAGTGGCTGCTGTAACTTAGAGTGTCCATTAACAAAAGTACTGTGTTGAGAATCTCTTCAGTAGTTCTTCACAAATTCAAAGGGCTCCAGATTATCTCAGACAAGGTCCCACGTGATCCCTCTGGGCTCATTCTTGGAATTCACACTGGCAGACTGGATCCCCAGAGTTGGCAGCTACTCCTACTCCCCTCAACATTCTATGGCCAACCCTGAAGACATAAGGTTTCTAAAATTATTGCACTTGTACCCCTATCCAGTAAGGTCACCTCTCCACATATTGATTAGCTAGTTGATGTCTATCTTTTACAAAGGAATATTTCCTGGAAAGGTATGGCAATCATAGAAGGACAAAAAATAACCCCCCAAACTAAGTGGTGTACTCTCCCCTGGGGAGAGTGGACTCAAATTTGAAGCTTAAAGGTACTTAGCCACATGTGCAGGGAACACATTTGGCCATACCTCAAGAGTTCTTGCTTAGGGAGTTCTGTTCTCAACTTGCAGGGTCCCCACCAAGCCGCCTTCTAGGTATGGTGTCACTAATGGATAAGCTCCTCTCTTGCTTAGATGAGCTAGCTACTTGCAGCACTTGGTGTCCATCTACCATTGGGTGGAGTCAAGCATGTATCTTCTCAGGGTTGGCTCTTCACCAGCCTGTGCTATTGTTGCCTCCAGCTCCAGGGTTTCTGCCATCACCTCCAGCGGAGGGGACCTCTAATTTCTTTTCCAACTTTTTGAAGCTCACCAGGTCACAACCTGGCCTGTGCTATATCAGGAGACTCATTGACCTAGTAGTAGGAAAGAATAAATACAAAAGATCCAACAAGGGATAAGGCAGTGGCTTTCATCCTTTCACTTCCCCATCTAGAGGCTCACAGTTCTTCCTCACCCAAAAGCTGCCAGGGAATAGAGAAGTATAAAAATAGGGCTAACTCGCTGATTTTAAGAGAAGGTCAAATTTGCCATTGAATATGATTTTTCTAATATCTAACACAGTGATTGGTATGTAGTAGGTGTTAAATGCTTGTGATTGATTGATATAGTAAATTTATGGTAGTCATTTTAGTAGCTGTTAATCTATGCCTAGACTGAAAGCTCTATGAATCCCTGATTCAGCATGGGTATGGACATCAGAGAATATCTAGGCCACTCTGGACCTAAATTGGAATCCCCTGGATAGCATTTCTGACAAGCGCTAGGTCAGCCAGCCAGCCTCTGCATGGAGTCCTCTAGCAGTGTGGAACCTCTTCCTCCTCCAGCAGCACATTCCTCCTTTACGTAGTTCTTTTTATAAGTTTTTCCTTACATAGAACTGAAGCCCACTTCTCTGCAACTTCTGCCCATTATTCCTAGTTCTGCTTTCTGGAGCCAAACAAAACAAGTCTTATCTATCTTCTGTACACCCAGGGGAGGTAAGCCAGTCTAGCTGAAGTGGCAGGGTACCCTGAAGGAAGCTGAGGAATCAGACTTCGTTCACCACCACCACCACCACCATGACTTCCACTTCCCCTTAGACTTGAGTGGACATAGTTCAGGACCTTGTACACAAGCCCTCAGAATAGTAGTGCCCTCTTCCTCTCCCCGGAACTCCATCCCTATTTGCAGCCTGTCTCCTGTAGCCATCCTTGAGAGGATCAACCCCTATGAAAAATGGACCCACTCTTTTTGACACCACTAATACCTGCCATCAATTAATTTGCATCATTGGGCACATAAGCCCCAGAGTTTCTGGAAGAGAAATACTTTCAAAACCACTGCTCTGCCTCTAGGACAGCCCACACAATCGTCTGTGGAGCAACCCTTCTGGATAAGGGGCCAGCAGTCCCTACCAGCTGCCAATCAACGGACTGCAGGAGGGCAGGCAGGCAAGCAGACTTGTCCTAGCCAAAGCATGAGGGGATAGAGGAGGAGGATGTACCGGGCAGGTCAAACCACTACTGACTTGACTGCCACTTCTTCAGACCATGATTAAGATAGCCCAGGATCCCAAGCCCAAGAGTCCTAGTAATAACAGTGCCTCCCTGGAGCACAGGCCCTGCTTCCTGCCCCACCTCCCCCCTATGGAAATGTGACTCAGCTGCTGCTCTGCGTGCTCCACAGCCATGGTCCCTTGAGGAGCCACAGCTATTGAAGACTCAAACAGAGAAATCCCCTCTCCCAAAGTCTGGCACAGTCATGTGAGTCAAGAGGAATCACCATCTGCCTTGCCATTGCACCCTAATGACCATCCAGCCTTTCTATTTGATTGGAAGCTGAAATCCCCAATATGTCTCCATTGTTAAATGAACGTGAGCTTCTTAAGAGCAAGCATTGCCTTGTTCCTCTGTGTGCCCCTAGTGCTTAGCAGATGACAAGCACCTGATAGGTGCTCATTCATTTCTTCTACCTGGCAGCCTTTCAGATACTTGAAGTCAGCCGTTATTTTCTAAGTATTTTCTTCTCTAGGTTAAGTATCTCCAGTTCCTTCAACCAGTCTCCATATCACATAGTCCTCAGCCCTTTCACCATATGGTTTGCCTTCTTCTGGATACACCAGTTTTTAATGTTTTGGTTTTTTTTTTCTTCCAAAAGAATGTATCATCCCATACTGAACCTAGTACTCCAGAGGTGGTCTGAACTCAATGGCACTTTTGTGTCCATCATTCTGAATACTGTCCTTCAATAATGCTGCCTAAGGGTGCATTATTAGAAGCTTTATAGCTTTTTTTGGCTGCCAGATCACGTGACTAACTTCATTTTGAACCTATGGTTCACTAAAAACCCCAGATTCTCCCCCACCCCAAAACATACACATTTACTCTTCTCTCACCAGCTCTTCTCCATCCTGTACCAATATGTACTTCTCTTAAATTTAATCTTACATTTGGTGCAATATTCTGTCAAGAATGGGGAATTTATGGCCTCAAGGCCACATGTGGCCCTCTAGGTCCTCAAGTGCGGCCCTTTGACTGAATCCAAACTTCACAGAACACATCTCCTTAATAAAAGGATTTGTTCTGTAAAACTTGTACTGAGTCAAAAGGTCGCACCCAAGGACCTAGATGGCCATATGTGGCCTTGAGGCCATAGGTTCTCTCATCCCTGTTTTGGACTATCCAAAGTCTTTTGGATCCTGATTATACTGTCCAGCGTATTAGCTGTCACCTCTAGATTTTCAGCATCTTTGAATTTTGTAAACATGCTGTATAGTGAGGGATAAAGTCTTAGCTAAACATTTATCTCCCTTACCTCTTAACCCAGTCAGGCATTTAACAAATATTTGTTGACTTAATTGAAAAGTTATTTATAAAGGCAACCAACACATTTATTGATTGCTTGAATGATTTCTATGTTTTATATCAACAGGATAAACGACAATGTTTTGGTGCTTCACTAAGTTCCCTGTCTGCTGGTAGAGTTTGCATTATAGGAATGTCTGTGGTGAATTTGAAACTGGCCCTATCAATAGCAATTCGTTTCTCAGCAACTCGCCATCAGTTTGGACCAAGTGATGATGAAGAAATTCCAGTCCTTGAATATCAAATGCAGGTATAAGCTCATGAAATGGAATTGTGTGTGTGTGTGTGTGTGTGTGTGTGTGTGTAGGGTGGTGGGATTTTTTTATATATTAACTTAAATGGCGACAGGTGATTGAAGATTAGGGAAACCTTTCAAGGTAGGAGATAAGCAACAGAAGTGTGTCCCCAACACAGGGAGGCATTCAGTCATTAATCACTGACTATGACTCACTGCCTTATACCCCAAACAACTAATCCTTTCCACCACACTTTTGGTGGTAAGGTTGCTTTTAAGTATTACTTAGAATATGGTTAAAAGGATTTTTTTTCCATAATAGGCAGTGTATTGCCTTTAATATTTTAGTAACTGGAAAAAGGAGTGGAGTGGTCATGTAGCAGAATTGAAGGCAATGGGTGGATGGCCTGACTACTGGACTGAGGGCTATGAAATATTAAGAGACTTGGAGGAAGGTCTCTAGCAAGTTGGATGGATCCTCTGAAGAATTTATAGAATGTGAACAATAAAATGAAAAGGCTCAGAGGTGATGTGATCTGCATCAGTCAAGGCAGTACCCACATCAGTGAGATCCCAGAGCTAGCAAAATAAACAGTTGACTTGTAGATGTTAATATTGACCATATTTCTATTTTTTATGAGCCTGTCATAAATGATCATTCAAATTATAAAAAACAAGTCCATTCAGTTGGCAGAATAGATGATGATTTATCGTAGTTGGAAGAGATCTTTAGAATTCAACCTTTCATCATCATTATCCTCATCATCCCTGAAAGGTAATGTTCCAGTTACTAGGAACTCACTGCTTCATGAGGCAGCTCTTTCTATTGTTTGGCAGCTCTCATTGTTGGGAAATTTTCCTTTTTATTTCCTTATTTTTTAAAAAAAAGGAATGTGAATGAAATGAAGTAAGGCTGTAACTAATTCATTCAAGATATTGTTAGGTTGGTGGGATATTAAAAGAAATATGATTTTGGAACTGGGTTAGAAAAAAATCATTGGAGTAATTTTAAAAATTCTGTTTAAAAGTCTTGTAGGACACTCGATGAGAGCTAAGTATGAAGTGTGTTATATTTATTCAAGTTTTCTTTGCTTTTCAGCAATGGCGCCTGATTCCTTATTTGGCAGCTACATATGCCTTAGACCATTTCTCAAAAACTTTGTTCATGGACTTGGTAGAACTTCAGCTAGGCCTTTTACAAAATGATAAAAGTATCAGGCAGGTAAGATAATTCCAAATACTTGTTGACATGCTTACAATTATTAAAGTGATGCTAGTTAAGTAGCTATGTTATGTTCATTGGAGACTCAGTACTCTTTTAGCTCAAAACAAATGAAGCACTGTTCTTCATAGAATTAGTGCTTAAGAAATATTTTGAGCTATGGTGAATCGTTGTATTGATAAGAGTAGCTAAGTCTTTCACAGTTGATTACTGTTACAGTATTGCTGTTATTGTGTACAGTGTTCTCCTGGTTCTGTTCACATCACTTTGCATCAATTCATATAAGTCCATGTTTTTCTGAAACCATCTCCTTCATCATTTTTTATAGCACAATAGTATTCTGTCACAATCGTGTACCTCAGTTTGTTCAACCATTCTCCCAATTGATGGGCATCCTCCCAGTTTCCAATTCTTTGTCACCACAAAAAGAGATGCTATAAATATTTTTGTTCAAATGGGTCCTTTTTCCTTTTCTTTGATCTCATTGGTGTATAGACCTACTAGTATTATTGCTGGGTCAAAGGGCATGCAGAGTTTTGTAGCCCTTTAAACATAGTTCCAAATTATTTTCCAGAAGGATTGGACCAGTTCACAACTCCACTAACAGTGCATTAGTGTTCCTATTTTTTCATCCTCTTGGAAAACTTTTACAATTTTGTTCAATTCTTCTACAATTGCAGTTGGTTCATAGGGTTAAACATTGAGTTATCAAAATCATAAGGTTGAAGTGGTAAATATTTGAAAGATATACTTGAAACCATACTGTATTGGCAGTAAAAAACGAAAACAAAAACCTGGGTTCTAGTCCTCACTCTGCCGCTGGCAGCTGTGTGCCCACTTCTCTCAGAGAGGAGTTACTTCCTCTGTAATGATCTCCAAGGTCTCCCTTTGCCAGCTCAAAACTTTTTACTATTGGATATCCCTCTGGCTTTTTTATTCCTGATACAAATGGTTCTCAAATTATAATCTGACTTATTCATCATTCTTATTCCCTTAACTATAAATAATAGAGACATAACAGATTAATGCCAATAATAATCGTAATTATATCATCTCACATATATAGAGTACTCTAAAATTTGCAAAATTCACAGTAACCTCAGGAGACAGGAAATGGAAATATCTTCTTTTTTCATTTAGGGATACTGAGGCTCAAAAAAATAAAGTTATTTACCATTAGTCACACAGATTAGTGTCAGAGCAAGTAGTTGACCCCAGCTTTTCTTGCTGATTCCAAATTCTGCTATACCCTGTATATAATTTAATATACCATTAATTTCCTGTGCATAATTTTGAAATATACTTGTTGTTTGATGAGCCCCGTTTGGAATATTATTTGTTGTTTTGAGGTTTTGAAAACCTTCTGTTTAATCCCTCCTTTTTAAGGCCGAACTTGGACGTGAAATTCATGCATTGGCATCTGCTGGTAAACCGCTAGCTTCCTGGACTGCCCAGCAAGGAGCTCAGGAATGTCGAGAAGCTTGTGGAGGACATGGCTATTTGGCCAGTAAGTGTGAGGATAGTCTTCTCTTTTGTCCTTAACCCTACCATTTAACTTTGGATGCCTAAAGATGTTTACTCTAAATTGAAGGTAATGCATTCCATAGAGAGAATCTGTGAGAAGCAAAGCAATAAAAAATTTCAATAGAAACTCCAAATCAATTAATTTGAATTCTGACTTCCTGTATTCACTGACAGGATTCTCTCAGTAGGGAGAGAATGTGGTACAGTGAAAGGATCACTGGCTTGTGGAACTCAGGATCCCTGAGTTCTGATCTTGGTTATACCTAACTTACTACAATATGATTGTGGGCTCTTTATGTAATTCTTCCACATAATACCCACTTCCTTGTCTGTAAAATGAGGAGGCAAGATCCCTTACGTGACAAATGTTTTGTGAGTTAAAGAATTAGTGCAATTAGGAACATTCTTTATGTTAAAAAAAAAAAACATTTTTAAAGACTCTAATTTGATGACTCAAACAATGATTTTTTTTTTCTGGTAGATGTTTCAGAAATGAAAATATATGTTCCAGTCCTTTCTGTCCTTTAAAGTTTTGTATTAGCAAAAGTTTTGATGAGTTAACTGCCTCTTGTACCCTTCTCACAAACCTTTCAAATGGTCAGAAAATGTTAAAGCATTCAGTGGTGAATTTCTGTGCTTAAGGATGCCTCAGTAAAACAAAGCTCTCCTCCCTTTCTACCAAGTGATACTTTATAGAAAAGCAGTTACTCACATTTTTATAGATCTTGAAGTTTGCCAAGTGCTCCTCTTCATTTAATGCCATTGTCTTTGTATCACAGTCATTACCCACAACCCCCTAGAGAATGAACCCTTTCTGTGACAAAGGAAAGCAATTAAGCAAACACTATCAGGTAAGGTTGACAGTCAGCTGACTTTCTGCTCTCCTTAATGCCATGGCAAAGGAAATATATTTGCCATTTCTTCAGGACCTTCACTGGTTTTTCCATTTCTCTGAGCTCAGTTTCCTTTTGGCATTTAAAAAATTTACCATCTTGTAATGATTGTGCCAACATTTGCTGAATTATGGAAAAAACAAAGGAGTTCCAAAAAAACATTTATTTCTGCTTCATTGACTACACTAAAGCCATTGATTGTGTGGATCACAACAAAATGTGACAAGTTCTCAAAGAGATAAGAGTACCAGATCGTCTTCTTTGTGTCCTGAGGAACCTGTATGCAGACATGTGGGTCAAGAAGCAACACTTAGAACTGAACATGTAACAACTGATTGGAAAAGGAATACAACAAGGCCGTATGTTGTCCCCTTATTTATTTAACTTATATACAGAGTACATCATGCAAAATACCAGGCTGAATGGATCAAAATCTGGAATTAAGGTTGCTGGGAAGAATATCAGCAATCTCAGATATACAGATGCTATCAGTCTTATGGCAGAAAGTAAAGATGAATTAATAAGCTTATTGAGAGGAGAGTATATGAGAGTATGAAAACTGACTTGAAGCTTAACATTAAAACCTTTTTAAGGTTTTTGTGACCATAGCATGCCAGCCCTTCTGTCTTCCGTTATCTCTTGAAGTCTGTCCCATCTCATCTTCAGTCATCCATTTCATTTTCTCCAACCCCCACTGCCATAATTCAGTTCCTTGGGATTATCAAGCACTGGCCTAATGTTTTTGATCACTTCCGTTTCTTGCTTATTTAATCTGTTCCACCAGTGATTGTGTATATTGTTCTCTTGGTTCTGCTTATTTTGTGCTGCATCAGTTCATACAGACATTTCCATGTTAGTTTGAATCTCTCATATTAATCATTTATAATTGTACAATAATATTGTAGCATATTCATCTAGCATAATTTGGGGTTTTTTTCCCCCTACCATTCCCTAATTTGTGACCATCCACTTCATTTCCAGTTCTTTGCTACCACAAAAATTGCCACTATGGATATTTTGGTGTATATGCCAGACATTTAGTTTTATCTTATATTTCCTTCAGGTATAAACTTAATAGTGGGATTGCCAGGTTAAAGGATATGGACAGTTTAGTCACTTTTCTTGCATAATTTTAAATTGAACTCCAGAACACTTCATAGATTTACCAATAGTGCATCATTGTGCCTGCCTTCCCACAGCTTCTTCTATATTGACTGTTCCCATCTTGTTTCCTCCTTGCTAGTTTGCAAGGAGTGAGGTGAAACTTCAGGATTGTTTTAATTTGTATTTTTCTTACTGTTGGTGGTTTGGAACATGTTTCATATAGTTGCCTGTAGTTTACAGATCTTCTTCTGAAAAGTTTACATCCTTTGATCTTCTGGGAGGAATGGCTTTTGGTATTTTGAATCTTTGTATCAATTCCTTATATATTTTGGATATTAGGTTTTTCAGTGATATTTGATACAAATGTTTTCTCTATTCAGCCATTTTTCTTTTAATTGTGTCTTTATTGATCTTGTTTGTGAAAAAAAAAACTTTCTAATTTTATGCAACCAAAATGTTGTTGTTGTTGTTTTTATTTTTTATGATCTCTTCTTATCCTGTTTTGTTAAGAAATGTCTTCTTAGCCATGGTTGCGAAAATACTTGATTTCTTTCTTTTCTAAGCTTACTGGGGCATATGGTGTAAAATACCGTCCTAATCCTACTTTTTGACAAACTGCTTTCCTGTTTTTCAAGCAGAAAAGGGATTCTTTCTCCAACCCCCACTGCTATAATTCAGTTCCTTGGGATTATCAAGCACTGGCCTAATGTTTTTGATCACTTCTGTTTCTTGCTTATTTAATCTGTTCCACCAATGATTTTTTCTGTTTTTAACCAGTAACAAATACTTTTCATAACTATTGCTTTATAATATATTTTGGAATGTTATAATGTTATAATGTTATGCCCATTCATTCATAGTTTTTTTTTCTTATCATTTCTCTTGAGATTTTAAACCTTTTGTTACTTCAGTGGGTATAGTTATGTTGCCTATTCCCCCAAACACCTCCTCCCCCCCAAAAATTCTCCACATAATTTGATTTGGTTAGCACTACATCTATAAATTAATTTAACCAGTGGTATCATTTTTATTATATTGGCAAGGCCCAACAATGAACAGTAGGTAT